AAGTTCATAATATAACAAAATGGACGCTTCAAGTTCATATCTATGAAACTACATAGCAGAAATCACAGCATACTCATTACGATTTTAAAATGTTTATAAAGTTATAATTGATTTAGTTTAAAACATTTTATGATGAACGATCATATTTTATTACAGAACACTTTATAATCTGCTGCATAAGATATAGTTTCGGTTCATGTATCTTACACTTGCCAACAATATACATATGTAAGTCTTTCGTGGTCTGCTAGGTATCCACACATTGCCCTTCGGACAGTTGCCCCCTCGAAAGTGTGCCCCCTTTTTGCAGTGGCGGTCATTTCCCCCTCTTATCTTTTGGAAGGGGCGGACATTTGCCCCCCCCCCCCCTCCCTGTTCAAAAATATTTTATTGTTGAATTGTTTGCTACCATAATTCATCGCCTATTGTGTAAATTTCATGGTGCTTAAATACACAAAAACTCGCGCAAATTTGTGAAAGTCAAAATAGCATCCATAAACAAATAATACTAAAAAATCTATGCACGAGATGACAAGTGACAAATCACAAGGGAAAAGAGGGGGCAAACATCCGGAGGGCATCTGTCCGGGCAAATGTCCTAGAATCTGCATTGTCTGATACGAAATACTATCAAACATTCATTCTTAACACACCCTCTATTACAGTCTGTTCACTTTATTATTGTATATATTTCAAATGACCAACCGACGTTTGCATATTTCTCATGATCAAACGACGTTTGCAAAATCGACACTAAGTGAAAAAACGTGTGTTTACATCGAATATAACCATGCCAATGGAATTATTAATAAGTTAGGGACGAGAATTTCTTGTAAAAAGATATATCTTCTATTATTTTCCCTCTACATGGGTTTTCAGTGAACAAAAAAGATTAGAAAAGATAAAAGCTATCGGCGTTTGCCTTGCAAAAAGAAAATTTGTGTCGAAGTGTTCTAAAAAACTACTTAAGTCTAGTAATGACTACTCACATAAAATTAAAGCTTAATTTACGCCGGGTCCTAAGGTCTATGTCTTATTTTTGTGTTCGCAGTGAAAAAAAAGATATCTGCAAATGATTACCTGAAATCGGGTCCGTGTATGCCAAAATCACAAATCGACGTTTGCATTTGTGGTCACGTGACAAAACTTGTTCATCCACGGTGGGTTAACTCAGCCCTTAAATGTCTGTGCTATTTCATGGTAAAACTAAAAGTATAGTACTCTCGCAGGTACCACGTCCTTGCTCATTCCCGTATAATCAGAACATGTGTGCCTTTACACACAGAACACCACTGACCAATCAACTGTTTCCACCAATAAACTGAAAGAGGAAGTGCTGCTTTTTGAATTTGGATAAAAATTGTTAGAAATATTTTCATTTCAAATAATTTCTGTCATTGATAGGAAAATCCAAAGCTGCCTGCGTGTGTTGAAAATACTTCTTTATTGCACCCCAAATTTACTAGTTAAACTGATAATTCCATGTTATGACAAGTGAAACTCGTCTGCTGAAACTGCAGTGAGGTCATGTTCTGTTGAAAAAAAAAATTCTACTGAAGCTGAAATGGGCTATAGATCAATTTACATACCATGGTACCATAGTGCTCTCCATTTAAGCTCCTGTTTAAAACCACTGGTGACAGTATCAGTGTTTGGAAACCCCACCTCTACATGTATCTGCCCCTGGACCCACCCCTACTACAACCCTGAAAAAAAAATTCAACACTCTAAGGCTTACTATAAGGTACCTATTAAGTTGCTCCCAAAAAATTTGTTGAGCCCTGCGTGTCCAAACACTGATACTGCCACCTGTGGGTAAAGGGTCAACTCGGCCCTATACCAACTCGGCACGGGTCAACTCGGCACAGGTCAACTCAGCCCTCTATTAAAAACCTATTAGGATATATAGATTGTTTAGCTTATAAAAATTTATGGAGTAAATTACTATAAAAGTATTCAGAGGTATCATACATTGTATGATCACTAACAAACAGAAATTTAAAAAGTTGGCTGTGAACATGTACGTATTATTTGAAATAATCTTTGTTAATAAGATGTCAACCCAATAAATGTAACATATTGATCTTTAAATTGAATTTTTATGATAATAAATGTAATTGTATTTAACACTGTTTGTTCTTAAACACAAGCAACCAATGCTGTTTGAACAATATACTTTACAAAAAAAACATCTGAAGTAAGCAAAATGTGCATATAAATCGTAAATTCTTCCCATCACTGCAAATTCACATACAAATTGGTACTTTCATCAATAAAACTTTTCAATAACCTTGAGTAGAGGTCTATTAGTCTCAATATTTCGACGGCAAGACAGACCAATTTTATAATCTGATATTTCATAGATGTCGGTCTTTACGTCTCAACCAGTTACGATCAAAACTTAGTCTCAATATTTCGACAGCAAGACAGACCGATTTTATAATCTGATATTTCATAGATGTCGTATATATAAAAAAAAGCCCCAAAGCGTACAATTTTTTGGGCTTGAGGTCTATTAGATCTACTGTGAAAATGTTTAACAATGAAAGTTATGATGAAAACATATAAAAAGTAATAAAAGTAATCATTACCATATATTATATAATTATGGGCCAAGTTGACCCGTGCTGAGTTAGAATAGGGCCGAGCTGACTCGGGGGCCCCGAGTACGTTTTAGCTGACCCTGATTCCTTCCCGAGTTCAAAACATGGCTGACTGATCATAGATATTTCTAATTTGAATCATTGAGTTATTCTATGAATGACAAGTGTATTTTAAAGAAAACTTGCGAGAGTTTAACACAATTTAATAAAATAGTACATACAAGATCCTTTTTTATTTGTACAATTTGCTTGAAATTATAAGAACAAATTATGGTATACTCGGTTTCTATGATATCAAGGGTTCCTATGATATCAAGGTATTTAAATTTTCTGTGACTGCTCTTAAAAGCAACACACGATGATGCTAATATTTGTAAAACTTGCACACTAGATTCATTTTCATCTGCCAAAAAATTTAATTTGGTGAATAATGAATGTATTTGTGGCAAGAAAACTATTTTATAAAACCTTCATATTTGACTACCATTTTCCTTAATGGTTTTTACACAGTCAATTAAAATATGTTATAAACACATTGACATATGGTCTGTCCATATAGAGTCAGTGTACCCGGTTCCGCACAGGACCCGGTCCCGCACACTTTCCCATTTTTCATTTTTTCTTAAAAAATCAAATGAATTCATTTAATTTTCATTTGTGTTTCACTGAACTGGCATGTTTTCAACAGGATATGACATAATCTGGGATCTTGCACCTCAAGCCTCTCCCTAGACAGTGCAGACGAAAATGTAAATACATGTACATGGCTGTGTAGGTAACACATAAAAACAACTTATTCAGCAATTAAACCATGCTAATTTCTATTTTAATGTTAAAATCATTATAAAATATATATTTGAAAAGAAATTTATGTTTTTGTTATGGCAAATTTGCTGTTAGTTATAAAATATATGCACATGAATTAACTTCTCCCAACTACCAAATGTCAAGTCATTTCACCTTGATTCTTTTGTTTAAAATGATACCAAACTCTTAATCGAACAAATCATATCTAAACAGATGAAAAAACCTTCAATAATAATGTTTTATGTCTGTCTTTACTACCTACAAGTGGTAAAAAGTATATTTCAATTGCTGTTACATGTTTCCTGTGTGCTACTATGCTTGGAAATAAATGTTTGTATACTGTAGTAAGAATGTGCATTAAATTTATTTGAAGTCCTGAAAATTTGCAAAGAAATATAACTTATCTGGACTTACAGATGTTAAATAATTTATAAAACATGTTTAAGATGTAAAATAACCTTTCAGTATAAAAATGGCCTTGTGTGCGGAACCGAGTCCACTATTTATCATATTTGGCCCATTCCTGTTGCTTAAAATCAAGTGCGCCTAGAAGTATGACCTACTTAAGATAGAAATGTTTCGGTAATCAGTTTTTATGGGCAAAGGATGTAATTTTCAAAATAATATCTATTATAAGAAGAATTTTTAACTATAAGATAATTTTCTTATTTTTACTTAAAAAAGTGTACGACTCCGGGTACACTGACTCTAGTTTTAATTTCATAGCAAGTTAACTGTTGGAAGTTTTTCACAACTTAACTTGAAAGTTTTGACCCATCTATCTTTCCATTATAACTTGCTTTTTTTGGGATTACCTTGATACCGTAGTAACCTCCTCTGAAATTACCCAAAATGGCAGACATTGAAAAATTATATTCTAAAAAATGTCATTTTTATTGGTTCTTTTGAAATAATGTTTGACAAACAGTTCTGGAAAAGGTTCAATTATAAGATGGAATAAAAATCTCATTCATTTATGATATTTATATTTAAATATTTTCTGATAAACGTTAAGTACCATGATATCATAGAACCCCGGGCTACCATAGGGAACCATCCTAAGCTCGCTTTGACTTTTAATTCAATACTTGCTGCCTCTGCATCCGGTGCACATAATAATTACACCCGTGTAAAATAATTTGCTGTTGGTATCACACTACTAATTCTTAACCACACTATCCGAACTTTGACGGAAAGAAGTCGAGAAGATGCGGTTACAACAAATAAATACAGTAGGAAACATTGCTTGGATCTGTTAAAAAGGAAAACTATATAGTTCTAAGAAGTTTCACGTCATTTACCGATATGCGTTAGGATATTATGTTTTCTTGTTGTTCCTGTAATACATGCGGACTGAATCACAGGCGTTCTGCACATTTCCCTTGCGGATATGCCAGGGTGTGTTCTTAATGATCAAGGGGAGATTATTTTATAATAATTTAAACATTATTGGCATGGCAAAGTGGACTGAACAGTAGTCCTAATTTTCTGGTTGAACGAAAAATTATGTTTAAGCATTCTTTATAATAAAAAAAAGAGAAAGCTATGATTATATGTTTTATTTTATTAAGAATAACAATTTAATAGACAGAAAATAATCGCAAATTACAGAAAATATGTGCATCACAGTCAATAAAATACTTTAAAAAATTAAAAAGAATAAATGCCATCACGGCAACACTTTATTTTAAAGTGAAAATGATATAATATAAAGTAAATACAGTGTACATGTGCAATTAACGGTAGAAAAATAAAAATACAATAAACTCTGCCCAGCAAAATTTTACAATGTAAATAATACATATTTTAAAATACATGTAAATATAGATATTTGATAGATCGTACAAAAAAATGTTCGTGCTTTTTAAAATTTTAATATCTAAGAGGAAAAAAGAGAACGCTTAAATCTACATTTTAATGAATGAGAAGTTGTTTGAATAATAATATTAATGCAAATATAAATGCATTAAAAGTACAACATAGTACATACTCAAGTATCTTTTTCCAAAAATAAACGTATGGATTATTGATCAATGATAAATGCATGCACAAACATTTCGGTCGTTAAAACACTTTTTACACAATAATAAGTTGAATTAACTGAGGTAATCGGAGTGATATTATGGTTAAAAATGCTCAACATATTGAGTTCAACCAAACGCTTAGCATAACTTTAACACCGACCTAGATTTAATGTAATATTTAAAGTCTCTGCTTTAATAAATCGCAAGTATTGTTTAAAGAAACATCCTCATTTAACCATTCATTTAAAGCACGATTGTCGCACAGTAGCGTGTTGTAGGTTATGGTGCTTTAAAATGACAAGCTATGATTACAAAACGTGATATTTGGCGCATGTTTGTAGATATTTACTTAAAATTCCTTTACGGTCGTCATTCAGAATTCCTTGGTGATTATCCGATCGACTTAAATATGGCAGTTTAATCAGTATTATAGTTTTTATGCCGTTCATGTTTCAATAAGGCATTTTGCAGTAAATTATAATTGCACTACTGGATATAAAACCAACAGAATGTGATTTCTTATATAATTATTTCTTTGTGTTATAAAATAGCATAACAAATATAACAGTCAATACTTTTTACACTGACAGCATGAACAAATAATGCTTGATTTGAGTTCATGATATCAAGAAGTAAATGCAAATATCACAGTTGCTTACAGTTTTTCTCCTCATTTTTTAAATCCCTACTTTGTGTTCACTGCCATTGGCATTCAGCACAGGAGGGGGATTTGGGTAGGCTGAACCAGATTGATACACTACTTCACCGTATGGTGGTGGTGGTGCCGTTCCAATATCCTCGACTCCAGGGTATGGTGGAGGTAATTGACTTGGTTGCTGTTTTGTTACACATGCCACAGGCTGGGTACCAGTCTGTCCCATCCGGAACGGTAGGTGTGCAGGTTGAATAATAATGGCGGACGGGGTACTGGAACCATTCTCGTACACTGTTTGCGTCCCCGGCACGGTGCTCGTTATCGCAGTCCCTCTGTCGTAGTCATCTATTTTGTTGTTATGGTAATATTCAACTGGAAAAAATAGATAAGTATTAAGTTTATTTGTAATAACTTATTAGTTTGTTGTATTACCTGTTTCAAAAAGAGTTTGGAGATTTGAATTGACTGAAAGACTGTCTCAACTGTAACACACGCACGGTTAGCCTTTCCAGTTCAAAAGAGATAAACCAGTGGTTACAGTTACATTGCGATACCACTTTAATATATTTATTGATACTTTAACACTTTTCAAATGTAAGTTGGGTCTCATACTGCACGATGATTTTTCACATTAACGTTGCAATGCATTTGTTTAAACCACACTGCATATTACCAATATTGTGATATTTATTAAATGGACTTGTCCAGGTTCCATTTCTGGAAATGTCAATTATCAGTTTAGGTATACCGTATATCAGGATTATAATTTAACACATTGTAGTTTAAGAGCCTGGTTAGACTGCACGTGCATGTAGGCTGCCATGACTCTATACTAGAAGCAATGCCTTATCTCTTTTGGCCATGACTATATACAAGAAGCAATGTCTTTTCTCTTTTGGCCATATACTAGAAACAATGCCTTATCTCTTTTGGCCATAAACTAGAAGCAATGTCTTATCTCTTTTGGTATGACTCTATACTAGAAGCAATGCCTTATCTCTTTTGGTATGACTCTATACTACAAGCAATGTCTTATCTCTTTTGGCCAAATACTATACTAGAAGCAATGTCTTATCTCTTTTGGCCATGACTCTATACTAGAAGCAATGTCTTATCTCTTTTGGCCATGACTCTATACTAGAAGCAATGTCTTATCTCTTTTGGCCATGACTCTATACTAGAAGTAATGTCTTATCTTTTTTGGCCGTGACTCTACTAGAAGCAATGTCTTATCTCTTTTGGCCATGACTCTATACTAGAAGCAATGTCTTATCTCTTTTGGCCATGACTCTATACTAGAAGCAATGTCTTATCTCTTTTGGCCATGACTCTATACAAGAAGCAATGTCTTATCTCTTTTGGCCATGACTCTATACTAGAAGCAATGCCTTATCTCTTTCGGCCATGACTATATACACGAGGCAATGTCTTATCTCTTTTGGTTCTATCAGTGTAAGGGTTAACGTTGTGATATAATTACAATAGATTAAAGTGACTGATTCTTCAAAATGGCCGCGAACAATATGGCCGTCATTAAGAATTGCATTTGTATATATGAACTTATATGAACTTACTGCTCATCATCAGATATGTGACGCCCCAGAAACAGCTCCAAAACCAGCCAACAAACAACAAAACAGTTGTCACCAACTGCAGAAACCCTACACCACAGCTAGAAACACAACTTAAAGCCTTAGCTGACTTGTCCATATCTTCATTTCGAGCACAACAAAACACGCTAACGCCGGCAATTGCTGAACCTGAAATCAAAGACAAAAACATAATTCTGACATAATCTATAAGGAATTCCAATGCGAGTTTTTTTTACATGACGGGGCTTGAGATATTTTTCTGAGATTTGCGAACCAATTGATGAAAGTCTGTGTGCAAATTTTTAGATAATTCCCTCACCCTGTTTTTCTCGAATATCTTCTAGAATAATTCCCAGATTTTATTGGCTGCCAAATGATTAAAAAACATGTCCAAATTCGAAGATTGGTGTGTACATGTAAAAAATTGTAACACAATATGCAATATATAAACAAGAATGCACATATCATTTATATACTCTGTGCATACATGCACACACTCCTATGAGCTCCGGAACAGGACCCGAGTCGGCTTTCAAAACCGCTTTTTAACATTTTTGTTTTTCATCTGATTCGGCATTCACGTCATGTATAAGTATATAAACGGGTACACTGAAGACCTTAAGGTAGACCCCGACACTTTTCGAACTTTCGTTTAGCGTCTTGATATACTATGACATTACATGAGCCGCATTCTGCGGTCCCGTTCCCGACTTCCTATGGCACGCATGTATGTATGTTCGAAAAGATACACTAAAAAAGATCAATATTATAACCAGAACACGTGGATTGATGTAAAAAAAGAGAGAAGGAAAAAAAGAAGTCATCTTTTTATCACTACAATTTGCTTATTTAACCAAAATATTATAATTATACGTAACATATCAAATCCTTTTGTTTATATAGTTAATTGTGTACATGATTTTTGAAAACTGTGTTTTGATTTTTTTTGTCCTATAAATGCTTATTTGAAACTTTTTGAAACCTGTTTTGAATAAAAAGAAAAAAATATAAAAATCAATAGTTTGTAAGGACAGAGATTGTTGGAGAATAGGTTTTATTTTGGCTTACTGAGATAAAACTTGTCTAATTAGAAGACCCAAAGTTTTATTTTTTTTAAATGAACTAATTTCTTCACAAAAAAGTTTATTGTAAGTCACTTACCTAAGCCAGGTATAAGGAAGTTAAACACACAACACAAGATAGCCAAAGGGATTGGCATTGCTGGGAAGAAGACTCTTTCTGTCTTGCCTTTATAGCCACCACAGCCCCAGCCTGATCCCCAGCCTGATCCGTCTCCTCGGCCCATTTTTTAACTACTTCCGTATCTACATGAAATGTGATAATGTAACGAATCAAGATCAAGAGTACATTTGAGCCGCGTCATGACAAAACCAACAAAATGGGTTTGCGACCAGCATGGATCCAGACCAGCCTGCGCATCCACGCGGTCTGATCAGGATCCATGCTGTTCGCTATCAGTTTCTCTACTTGAGCGAACAGCATGGATCCTGATCAGACTGCGCGGATGGGCCCCGGCTGGGCTTGATCCCTGTGG